GTAGGTGGCAGGTTCAGTAAAGGAGGGCACATGCACACAAGGCTTGCCTTGGGCAACTGCCAGATGGGAAGATCTCTGCACACGTCTGCCTTAAATGTTTTATAGAAGCCGTAATTGGGTTCAGCCAAGACTACTTTCCAGATGGTCTCAATACCACATCACAATCTCAAGGCTACTGAGGCCGTCTCTGGGAGTGGAGAAGCCGGGCAGAACCCCCGTTCCCAGGATAGGGTAAGGGCTGATGAGCCTGGATGGCTGTTGTCCAGCATTCGGGCACCAGATGGTCACCTCTTCTCCAGGAACTTTCCCAACACTCCTCCCTTACAACCAGCTCTTACAGGTCACACACCACCACCCTCTGCAGTGCGCTCCAAACAGTTCACAAGGGCCTCCCTAGCATGGATGCCTCCCTCAGCGGCTCTCTGACTGCACTGGAGGCACATCTCACAGGAACAACACAGGTGTGTATGAGAAACAGATTAAGACAATTCCCCAAATCACTGACACTGTTTTCCACCAAGAAGCCCAGAATCCAAATCACTGATTTATTAAGTCCCCTGGGTCAGGGGACTGGTTCGCTAAGTTCATTTGTGTCCTCATGCGATTTGATAAGATGACACATCAGCAGATTTATCAATATGAACACACAACATTATGCTTGGATAGTGGCACAGGTGCCCTCTTACGAGGCAGTAATGGCTAAGGCCATCCTATTTTGGAAGACAGCTTTTCTCAGACACATTTTAGTGTTCAGTAGGGAAAGGCTTTGTTGACTATCATTCAAGGCTCACTGGGTGAATTTAGGCAGGACTCTAAGAGTGCTGTATTGTTTTCCAGACCAATGAACGGAACAAAGACAGTGGCCAATAATATATTCCTGCTGTATTTAGGTCCTCATAGGTTGGATACATGCATATTTACAATTGTTTTATCCTCTTCTTGGATTTATCTTTTTATCCATTACATGTAACCCTTATCTCTTATTATAGCCTTTGTGTTAGAGTTGTTTTCTGATATAGCCATTACTTCTCCAGGATTTTTTTTCACTTCCATTTGCATGGAATGTATTTTCCCATCTCTCACTCTTGGTCTTTGTGTCTTTATGTCTCTTGCAAGTTTCTTGTAGGCAACATATAGCTGGATCTTGTTTTTTTTTTTAATCCATTCAGTCACCTTACATCTTCTGATTGGAGCATTTGGTCCATTTACATGTAAAGAAATTATTGACATGTATATACTTATTGCAATTTTCTTCATTGTTTTCTGGCTGCTCTTCTCTATCCCATTCTTCTCTTGTTCTCTTTACTTATGATTTGATGATTGTCTTTAGTTTTATGCTTAGGTTCCTTTATCATTATTTTTGTGTATCTATTATGGTTCTTGGTTTATGATTACCATGAGGTTCTTGTATAACATGCTATATATAAACATATACAGCATATTATTCTAATTTGATGATTATTTTAGTTCAAACACATTTTAAAATTATACATTTTTCATTCCCCTTCCACATTTTATGTATATTATGCCATACTTTATATCTTTTTGTGGAGGTAAGCCTTAAAAATTTTTGTAAATATAATTTATTTTACTACTTTTGTTTTTTAACCTTCATTGACCTAACTTTACTGTATATTTGACTGACCAGTTATTTTTTTTCTGTATTATTTTCTTACTTCTAGTTATGGCCTTTTCCTTTCCACGTAATGTCTTTTTAACATTTCAAGTCTGGTTTACTTGTGATGAACTCCTTTAACTTTTGTTTATTGGGAAATTCTTTGCCTCTCCTTCAATTCTGAATGATAACCTTGCTGGATAGCATATTCTTAGTCACAGGATTTTTTCCTTTAGTATTTTAAATATATTGTGCCACTCCATTCTGGACTGCAAAGATTCCACATCAGCTGGCAGCCTTATAGGGTATTGCTTGCATGTAACTATTTGTGTTCTCTTCTTGTTATTAAGATTCTCTGCCTATCCTTAACTTTTGACAGTTTCATTATTATGTATCTTGGTGTGGAGCTTTTTGGGTTCACCTTGTTCAGGACTCTCTGTACATCCTGGACCTGTCTGTTTTTGTTCCCCAGGTTCGTTAATTTTTTAGCTGTTATTTCTTCAAATAAGTTTCCTCTCCCTTTCTCTCTGTTTTCCTTCTTATTGTTGCTCTTTTTTTCTTTTTGCTGTTCATCTTGGGTGCTCTCCATTACTATCTTCCACATTGCTGATCCACTTTTCTGCATCCCTTAGGCTGCTGCTGATTGCCTTTAATGTATTTTTAACTTCAGTTGTATCCTTCATTTCCTTTGTTTCCTTTTTCTATTTTTTAGCTATTTTTTGAAGTTCTCACTGAGTCCATCTACTCTTCTCAAGTCAAGTGAGCATCCTTATGATCATTACTTTGAACTCTTTATCAGGTAGATTTCTTATCTTTTAAAAAAATTCTTTTTCTGAAGATTTTTCTTGTTATATCTTTTGGAGTATATCCCATCTCCTCCTTTGTCTGACTGTGTGGCTGTGTCTATGTGTTAGTTAGGTCAGAAATATCATCTGATCTTGAAAGTAGTGGCTTTCTGTAGAAGGCATAGTCTGGGACCCAGAACCATAACCCACCTCGTTTGTCAGCAGAAACGGATGCCCCGGCGTGTCAGCTCTGTGGACTGTATGTGACTTATGCTGTGACTAGGATGTGACTGCTGTGTGCATGCTTGTAGGTGGGGCCCAACCCCAGCAGGGTGGTCCAGCTGCAGCTGCTGCATCTGTGCTGGTGGGTGGGGTCAGCCTCTGGCACACATGGCTGAGGGGCCCAGCTGCAAAAGCTGTGGGTGCACTGGTGGGTATGGACAGCCCCTTTTCTCTGGGGCAAGAGTGCTTTGGGGGCATTCTGGATCTGGCTGGGGATCCCTGCTATTGTCGTGCAGCAGTAGATGATTTGAGGGAATGCCAGTCCTGACCAAGGCCACCAACCAGCTGTGGCAGAGTGGGAGCCATGCCAGAAAGGCACCTACTGGGGTGGACAGATTCCCTGGGGTGGACCTGCTAGCAGAACACTGGGGCATAGCAAGCAGTGCTGGCAAAGCAGATGAAGACTATTCGAACTGGCTCCTGTCAGAACAGGTTGAAGGAAGGCAAGAAAAAGGGCACTTGCCAGCAATTCCATTCTCAAAGAAATTCCCTTCAGATCCCTGCCCTTCCAGCATTCATCCTGAAATTTGTCAATAAATCTCCTTCACACATAACCCAACACTTTTTCAAACTCCTGCCTCTGTATTGGGTCTCAGACTTAATGATACAGCTCACTGGCCCATTAAGAGTGGACTCTAAGTTTTCTATAGCCCTCTGGAATTTCTGGGGTTAAGCCTTACCGAGGTCTTTCAGAAAGGAGACACAGTCCTTCAGCAGATCCGAGATGACTGCTTGGCTAATCTCAGCAGAATTGGAGTCCCTGAGCCCCGCATCTTGGTCTCCAGTTTTGATGAGGATGACTTTGATTTCCCAAGACTGCATGAGATGATGCTGGGAATTAAGCCCTGCTTATTTTCAAATCCAGACATTAAAGAGGCTCATCTACCCAGTACAAATTCCCAGGACACAGGGGTCCAATGTGGGGTCTGATCCCCACTCTGCAGGGAGGACCTCCATGCCTGTGCTGTCCCTTCTGTTGGTGGGACTTGATTCCCATCCATGTCTCTACCTCTCCTGTCCTTTTTAATGTGACATTCATATATCTTCTGCTAGACTTTTGGTCGTTTTCACTGTGAGTTTTCAGCCGTGCTGTGTCTGTAGGAGGTGAACTCAGCATCCTCCTGTGTCACCGCCTTTCTGAGTTTTGTATAAATAATTTCAAGATCACAGTTTCCTGACACACTCTTCCACACTGACAGTGCATGATAGAGGGCCCCATGGATGACATACTAATAATTTCCTTGGATTGCTCTGGCTCAATGAGATATCTATATTTTAAAACCACTGAATTGAAAAGGGACAAAGGGCTCTTATTTTCTTCCGATTCTGTTTCCTGTCACATGTTCTAAAGTCAACCCCAATTCATCCATGAGGTAAAGTAAATAGACTTTAAGCTGCCACGGGACAGCTACTGCCAATACAAGTACGAAGTTGTCCCCATTACAGAACATTCCTCCTGGTGGGTGTTTCCTACCCCATGCCTCCCCCGCAAGCAAAGTCCTTCCCCAGTTTGCTCCAGTGCACGGGAAGTGCGGTCTGTCTGAAATCCCTCTTCTCACCGACATGCTGGCCTGAGTGAATCTTCGTGGACAATGGAAAGATGCTGGACTCTGTATTAACAGAAAAATGCATATTGTCTTCATTAGTATACAACCTTAGTGGCTTATAACAACACATATTTATTTGCTTACAGTTTCTGGAGGTAGATATCCAAAATTCATCTTAAGGGGCTAAAATCAAGGTGTGAGCAAGGCTGGTTCCCTCTGGAGCTTCCAGAATACAATCCACTTCTTTTTCTTCTCCAGCCTCTAGAGGTTGTCTGCCTTCCTTAGCTCACGGCCCTTCATCTGTCTGCCTGGATTTTCACCCCAACCTCTACTTGCACCATCCTGCCTCCTTTTCTGCATAAGGTGCCCTGTGATTATATTGAACCCACATGGGTAATTCAAGATAATCTTTCCATCTGAGGGGACTTAACTAAATCACACCAGCAAAGTGCCTTTTGCCGTGGAAAGGAACACATTCACAGATTCTGGGGCTCAGGATGTGGACATCTCTGGGGACCACTGTTCTGTCTTTCCTGAAACCTGGGACATAGGAATCACTGCCTAGAGATCATATAGTCCCTTCCTTAGAGATGGAAACAAAACCCATCAGGAAAAATGACTTAGTAAAAGTAACATGAGTAAGTGTGAGACGATGGGGCTGATCTGCTGAGGCCAGCACCTTTCCTTGGCTGACTTGGTGTGCATGTTCCGATGCTCCTTTCACCTCACCTTCTTGTGCGCTCTTCTCTTCCACAGGCCTTCCAGAGCTAACCGGCATGGATCGGTTAATCTCACACTTCCTTTCACAAAAGAATTTTAAGCAACTGGCCTTTGACTTAGTCGCTTACTATCCCACATTAAAGAGTAAGGTAGCGGGGATCCTCTCTCCAAAAACCCTCGCTAGCACTACAGCAGCACTGCAGGAAGGGAAACTAAAAGATGTGGATAATATAATTCAGAAATCACTTTTGGATGCAGAGAATGCTTCCCTGGATGTGGCTGTGATCGGGAATCTGGAGCTGGGAAATCTAGTTTCATCAATGCCCTGTCAGGAATCAGTCACGAAGAGGAGGGGTCTGCTAAGGTTGGAATTGTGGACACCACAATGGAGAAAATCCCCTATCAACATCCAAAATACCCCAATATGACCTTCTGGGACCTACCTGGGACCAGCTCCCCCAATTTCCACCCACAGAAATATCTAGAAATGGTGGAATTTTCTAAGTATGACTTCTTCTTCATCATTTCCTCCTCCCTGTTCAAAAACAGTGATGCTTCTCTGGCCCAGAAAATCGAGGATATGGGGAAGAAGTTCTACTTTCTAAGAACCAAAGTGGACAATGATTTATGTAATGAAAAGAAAAGCAAACCGAGGTCTTTCAAAAAGGAGACAGTCCTTCAGCAGATCCGAGATGATTGCTTGGCTAATCTCAGCAGAATTGGAGTCCCTGAGCCCCGCATCTTCTTGCTCTCCAGTTTTGATGAGGATGACTCTGATTTCCCAAGACTGCATGAGATGATGCTGAAAAAGCTACCTGGTTGTAAGCAATACATCTTTGAGATGCAGTCACCCAGTTTGTCTGAGGCTTTCAGTGAGATTAAGAGAGATTTCCTCAAGGAGAAGATCTGGTTGGAGGCCCTGAAATCATCTGCTTTGGCCTTCATTCCCTTCACGGCCTTCTTCAGGGGCTTTAATTTGCCCCAACAGGAGAAGTGCTTGAACTTTTACTGAAGCTGTTTGGGTTTGGATAAGAAATCAATCCAAGAGATAGCCCGGAAGCTGGGCACATCTGTGCAGGAGATTGAGAGCTACACCAAGTCCTTGAATTTCTGGTCACTTGTGAGGGATGACCGTATAGCAGCAAATGCCATGAACTGTGTTGAATCCTTTTGCTCAATAACTGAATGCTTCCAATCTTGTATATTCCAAGTTTGTAAAACCTACCTTCTGCGTATGAAATTTCTCAAGACAGTGGCTGATGATGCCAAAATTCTCTTGCATAAGACTTTAGAGAGCAAGTCTAAGAATATGTAGAGATGGGTTGAGTTGTCCAACTAAATAGTAAATTGGTTTCAGATCTTGTATTAGTTTGGTGTGACTGGGATCCTCTTCCACTCATTGCCAATACTAACTCTTCCCTAAAGTGGAAAGAATGCTCTTCTTTGGAGGGAGACCATTGTCTCACCCTTCACTGCTATGCAAAGGGGACTTGGCCATAGCCGCTTTTCTCTACTCCCTGGGCAATTTACCTTGAATAACAACAGAAATGCAGCTAGTACTTTTCATTAATCTCCATGTGTTATGAGGCAGTTTGCATTTGCTTGATTTACTTATGTAATAAACACTTGGCAACAATCAAGATAACTGTTTTCCATTGACTTTTTATGAATTATTTTCCTAGTCATCATATTAATACCCCCCTCACCAAACTAAGGGAAAATCCAAGAGTATGGAAATATGGCTAAGTGGACAATTTATTGTGCAGTGGGGAACCACAGCATGTTCTAGAGTGCCACATGTCCAAGTTCAGCTGGGGAATAGAGGGAAGGGACCAAAGTCAGGGATTATATTTCAGGGACATCACCTGCCTGCAAACCCACTGTCTCCACTATTGTTCCAGACTACCCAGAGATCAACCCAGCTACAGCAACTACACAGCTTAACGCAGAGGCTTCTCCCTGTGTGCAGCTCACTATGACCCCATCCATCGTCCTAGGCCATCCTGAGGGCCACCCTGCCCACAGCAACTTAGGAATTAACTCAGAGGCCATTCCCTGCATGCAGCTCACTGGCTCTGACAACAGAGACAGGCACTGCATCTGGGACACACAAAAGGGCTTGGTCCTCCCAGCAGGCACTGGCACCACTCACCTGTGACCCCCACCATTGCTTCAAGATTATGAAAAACGGAAGAACCTTGTTCAATCCAAAATCCCTCAAACACCAGAAAGAGGGCTCAGTGAAACTGAAATCACCAATCTCCCTGGAAAAGAATTCAAAATAAAAGTCATAAGCATGCTGATGGAGCTACAGAAGAATATGTAAGACCTAAGCGATGAATTTCGGAGGGAGACAACAGAAATGAAACAATGGAGGGATTTAAGGAAGACTGGATGAGGTGCAAGAGATTGTTAATGGAACAGAAAACAGAACAGGAATACAGAGAAGCTGAGGCAGAGAGATAGAAGGATCTCTAGGAATGAAAGAATATTAAGAGAACTATGTGACCAATTCAAATGGAACAATATTTGCATTATAGGGGTACCAGAAGAAGAGAGAGAAAAAGGGATAGAAAGTGTCTTTGAAGAGATAATTGCTGAAAATTTCCACAATCCGGGGAAGGAAATAGTCAATCAGACCATGGAAGTCCACAGATCTCCCAACACAAGGGACACAAGGAGGACAACACCAAGACATATAATAATTAAAATGGCAAATGTCAAAGACAAGGACAGAGTATTAAAAGCAGCCAGAGAGAGAAAAAGATCACATACAAATGAAAACCTATCAAGCTATCATTAGACTTCTCAGCAGAAACCTTACAGGCCAGAAGAGAATGGCATGGTATATTTAATGCAATGAAACAGAAGGGCCAAGAAACTGTATCTAGCAAGATTATCATTTATATTTAAAGGAGGGATTAAACAATTCACAGACAAGCAAAAGTTGAGAGAATTTACCTCCCACAAACCACCTCTACAGGATATTTTAAAGGAGCTGCTCTAGGTGGAAGTGCTCCTAAAGCTAAATAGATGTCACCAGAGAAAATAAAACCACAGCAAAGAAAGTAGAGCAACAAAATACTAACCAAAATCAAAATAAAATCAGCTATCCACAAAATCAATCAAGGGAAACACAAAAGAGTACAAAATGAAACAGATAAGATATAAAGGGTGGAGGAGGAAGAATAAAAAGGAAGAGAAATAAAGAATCATCAGACTGTGTTTTAATAGCATAATAAGTCAGTTAAGGTAGATGGTTAGATAGTAAAGAAGTTACCCTTGAACCTTTGGCAACCACGAATCCAAAGCCTGCAATGGCAGTAAATACACCCTAAATATAAATGGACTGAATGCACCAATGAAAAGACACAGAGTAATAGAATAGATAAAAAAAAGCAAGACCCATCTATATGCTGCCTACAAGAGACTCATGTCAAACCCAATGACATACACAGAATAAAAGTGAAGGGATGGAAAAAGATATTTCATGCAAACAATAGGGAGAAAAAAGCAGGTGTTGCAGTACTTGTATCAGACAAAATAGACTTCAAAACAAAGAAAGTAACAAGAGATAAAGAAGGACATTACATAATAATAAAAGGGGCAACCCAACAAGAGGCTATAACCATTATAAATATCAATGCATCCAACACAGGAGCACCTATATACATGAAACAAATATTAACAGAATTAAAGGAGGAAATAAAATACAATGCATTAGGAGACTTCAAGACACCACTCACTCCAAAGGACAGATCCACCAGACATGAAATAAGTAAGGACACTGAAAAATACATTAGACCAGATGGACATAACAGAAATCTACAGAACTCTCCACCCAAAAGCAGCAGATACACATTCTTCTCAAGTGCACATGGAACATTTTCCAGAATAGACCACATACTAGGCCACAAAAAGAGCCTCAGTAAATTCAAAAAGATTGAAATTCTACCAACCAACTTCTCAGATCACAAAGGTATAAAACTACAAATAAATTGTACAAAGAAAACAAAAAGGTTCACAAACACATGAAGGCTTAACAACATGCTCCCAAATAATCAATGGCTTAATGACCAAATTAAAACAGAGATCAAGGAATATATGGAGACAAATGACAACAACAGCACAATGCTCCAACTTCTGTGGGAAGCAGCAAAAGCAGTACTAAGAGGAAAGTATATAGCAACCCAGTCCTATTTAAAGAAGGAAAAACAATCCCAAATGAATAGCCTAAATTCACAATTATTGAAACTGGAAAAAGAGGAACAAATGAGGCCCAAAGTCAGCAGAAGGAGGGACAAAATAAAGATTAGAGAAGAAATAAATAAAATTGAGAATAAAACAATAGAAAAAATCAATGAAACCAAGAGCTGGTTCTTTGAGAAAATAAACAAAATAGATAAACCCCTAGCCAGACTTACTACAGGAAAAAGAGAATCTGCACACATAAACAGAATCAGAAATGAGAAAAGGGAAATCATTACAGACACCACAGAAATACAAACAATTATTAGAGAATACTGTGAAAATCGATATGCTAACAAGCTGCATAACCTACAAGAAATGGACAACTTTCTAGAAAAATACAATCTTCCAAGACTGACCAAGGAAGAAACAGAAAATATAAACAGACCAATTACCAGCAATGAAATTGAATCAGTAATTAAAAAAATACCCAAGAACAAAACCACCAGGACAGATGGATTCACAGCTGAATTTTATCAGACATTTAGAGAAGACATAATACCTATTCTCCTTAATGCTTTCCAAAAATAGAAGAGGGAATACTTCCAAACTCTTTCTATGAAGCCAGAATCACTTTAATACCAAAACCAGGCAAAGACACCACAAAAAAGGAAATTACAGATCAATATCACTGATGAACATAGATGCAAAAATGCTCAACAAAAATTAGCAAACCGAATTCAAAGATACATCAAGAGGATCATACACCATTATCAAGTGAGATTCATCCCAGGGATGCGGGAATGGTACAGCATTCAAAAATCCATCAACATCATCCACCACATCAAAAAAAGAAGGACAAAACCACATGATCTTCTCCATAGATGCTGAAAAAGCATTTGACAAAATTCAAGATCCATTCATGATAAAAACTCTCAACAAAATGGGTATAGACGGCAAGTAGCTCAACATAATAAAGGCCATATATGAGAAACCTACAGCCAACATCATACTGAACAGCAAGAGGCTGAAAGCTTTTCCTCTGCGATCGGGAACAAGACAGGGATGCCCACTCTCCTGCTTTTATTCAACATAGTTCTGGAGGTCTTAGCCACAGCAATCAGACAGCACAAAGAAATAAAAGGCATCCAGATAGGTAAGGAAGAAGTCAGACTGTCACTATTTGCAGATGACATGATATTGTACATAAAAAACCTAAAGATTCCACTCCAAAACTACTAAAACTAATATATCTATTCAGCAAAGCTGCAAGATACAAAATTAATACACAGAAATCTATGGCTTTCCTATACACTAATGATTGAACTAGCAGAAAGAGAAATCAGGAAAACAATTCCATCCACAATTGCATCAAAAAGAATAAAATACCTAGGAATAAAGCTAACCAAGGAAGTGAAAGACCTATATGCTGAAAACTATAAGACACTCTTAAGAGAAATTAAAGAGGATAATAATAAATGGAAATTCATCCCATTCTCTTGAGTAGGAAGAATTAATATTGTCAAAATGGCCATCCTGCCTAAAGCAATCTACAGATTCAATGTAATCCCTATCAAAATACCAACTGCGTTCTTCAACTAACTGGAACAAATAGTTCTAAAATTCGTATGGAACCACCAAAGACCCCAAACAGCCAAAGCAATCCTAAGAAGGAAGAATAAAGCAGAGATCTCGCTTCCCAGCTTCAAGCTCTACTACAAAGCCATAGTAATCAAGACAATATGGTACTGGCACAAGAACAAACCCATAGACCAGTGGAACAGAATAGAGAGTCCAGATATTAACCCAAGCATATATGGTCAATTAATACACAATAAAGGAGCCATGGACATACAATGGGGAAATGATAGACTCTTCAAAAGCTGGTGTTGGCAAAACTGGACAGTTACATGCAAGAGAATTAAACTGGATCATTGTCTAAACTCATACACAAAAGTAAATTCAAAATGGATCAAAGTCCTATATGTAAGTCATGAAACCATAAAACTCTTGGAAAAACACAAAGGCAAAAATCTCTTGGACATAAACATGAGCAACTTCTTCATGAACATATCTCCCCAGGCAAGGGAAAGAAAAGCAAAAATGAACAAGTGGGACAGTATCAAACTAAAAGCTCTGTACAGCAAAGGACACCATCAATAGAACAAAAAGGCATCCTGCAATATGGGAGAATATATTCATAAATGACATATCCGATAAGGGGTTGACATCCAAAATGTATAATGAACTCACATGCCTCAACAACCAAAAAGGAAATACCCAATAAAAAATGGGCAGAGGTTCTGAGCAGACAGTTCTCCAAAGAAGAAATTCAGATGGCCAACAGACATATGAAAAGATACTCCATATTGCTAATCATCAGAGAAATGCAAATTAAAACCACAATGAGGTATTACCTTACACACACTTTTGGATGACTAACATCCAAAAGTCAAGCAACAAATGCTGGCGAGGATATGGAGAAATGGG